TGCTATTTTAAAGTAATTCAACACATATCGACCCTAAATATAGCATATATTAAGAACGAGAAAGTGTTAACATCGTTTTTTGTAAACAAATGACAAATGTGCGAGGGTGATGACATCAGAGCATCGTCCTATGGGCTTAGCCCCGGACAGGTACAACAGGTATTCACTCAGAGGGGGGTAGGTACTAAATGCCACCCATTTACATGTAGGCAAACAAAGTCAAAAATCAACATACAGTAGGGGGGTGGGGGATGGTGAACGGTATGTGGGTGTGTGGGACACTGAAAAGTCTATGTTAAAAAGCCTCAGTCACCTTAATTCATGTAATAAAAACATCTCAGGTCAGTAACACTGAAAGCTAAATGTGCAATACCATGTTCAGCTATGTTACTATTTATAATGTTATTGTTGTTACAACAGAAGATGTTTTTCTTTATATTGAAGTTAAATGCATCAATCTGGTGCACTTTGAGGTCAAAATTAAGAGATTTATGGATACCGCTGGAAAAAGCTGCAGTACATATGCCGAGCCTGTACGTAGCGCTGTAACTTCCTCCACAAAAGCAGCCTTCTGTTTATTCAACGTGGTGGGGGCCGAGGGAACCGGGCAGAGTTTTTCGCCGGTCAACGTGTGTGAAAGTTTAAATCTTCCTTATTGAGCTTTAAAACAAATGAATAACAACTATATATAATAATAAAATAAACACCGGCTGTTGTTATGCCTGCTGTAACGTTAAATTACTCCGTTCTCCGCTTAAATAATTATGCCGTTACAAGCTTCATAGTTGTATTTATCATCTAAATTTGCCGAAACAAGTTTAATATTCTGAAAGCCAAGACTTTGTTTATTTGAAATCAGATGAAAACAAACTGTAACGGACCCTGCCGTGTTATCTACAGGGATGCAAACTTGTCACCTTTCGGCGAAATTTGCCGTTTTGAATCTGCAATAAAAATATTTTTGGGGTATGGGGGGGTCTGGGACCCGGAGTAATCTGCGGCCGCGAGCTGTTATGTGCCATCATGACACGCATGGTGTTCTTTTTTTATATATTATAATGAAGCGCGAGCTGTGTGCTTGAGTCTTCCTGCCTGTCGGCTCTGCTCATGGATGTATAATAAGGCTCTGCTGCTCCGGGATGAGGGTCTAGCTTCAGCAGCTACATTACCTACGGGTGCGTTCGTTAATATTAACTGTGCGGTCCGGAGTCACTGTGGCACAGACTGGACCGCTGGTGAACAGCTGTTAGAACGGGCCGTTCAGGTGTTCAGAGCAGAGCTCCCTGTTGGAGCGGCAGAGCGTGATGTGCACTGAAAAGTGTTCCTGTCGCTATATTATCGTTGAGCTAGCTAACTAGCATACATTGTCACTATCTGCTAACGTTAGCTTTAGCCTTCGTTTTCAAATAGTTTTTTTCATAGGCTATAAACGGAGGTGCTATAAGTATATATCTTGTACTTGAGTAAAAGTAGAAGCACTCAGATCTTGTACTAGAGTAAAAGTAGAAGTACTCAGATCTTGTTCGTAAAAGTAGAAGTACTCAGGTCTTGTACTTGAGTAAAAGTAGAAGTACTCAGGTCTTGTACTTGAGTAAAAGTAGAAGTAGAAGTCCTGCATTCAAAATGTTCCTCAAGTAAAAGTAGAAAAGTATTCTCATCAAAATATAGTTAAAGTAGCGACAGTAAAAGTAGTCGTTGTGCAGATTGGTCCATTTCAGAATAATATACAGTATATGATATGTTTTATAATGATTGATCATGAAAGTGTTCTCAAAGCTGGTAAAGGTGCAGCTAGTTTGAATGACTTTGTATACTGCAGGGTAGCTTGTGAATTTACTCCAGGTGGAACTAAAGTCTGATTTAACACTTGATTATATTTCACATCATTCATCCACATCTGTAAAGTAACTAAAGCTATTAAATACATGTAGTGGAGTAGAAGTACACCATTTACCTCTGAACTGTAGTGGAGTAGAAGAACAAAGTAGCAACACATTGAAATACTTAAATAAAGTACAAGTATCTCAAAATTGTACCCAAGTATAGTACTTGAGTTTATGAACTTAGTTACTTTACACCAGTGGCTATAAAGATAGAAAGACTAAGCCTTGCACAGAGGCATGAAAATACATTTTCAAAATGCTCAACAGTGCTGCCAAAATTATAAACTGACTGCTACACAATTCAAATAAATGCATTTATACATTTCTATTAGATGTGACTCTTTGGCGTTTCTGTTATTAACTGCTTTAGTTGTTCTGACTGCTAAAATCCTCTGTTATTCCTCATTTTAAAGCCGATATTCCGTGGGGTCGGGGGGGTCGGATCCTTGTCACCTTTTTCATACCTGATGAGTTTGCATCCCTGTATCTATGATTACTATGCCTTACTGTACATTCATAATTTCAGCCGGAGGGAGGTGGGCGGTGCTGTGGAGGAGCAGATTGCGAGTGAGAGGTGCCTGTCATCTTCCCTTTACAAGCTTCACAAATGTATTTATCGTGTGATTTTGGAAATAAAAGTTTCATATTCTGAAAGCCAAGACTTTGTTTATATATTATACGTGGGTAGCTATGACGTCAGAAGGAGTTACCGTAAATGAGAGCTGCCGTAAAAGTGTTTCTAGGATTTCTAAACGAACTATTACAGCTGTTATAAAGCATTAAATAAAAAGTCATGAAAGAGATAAGGAGGAGAAAAGGTTTAAGGAAGTAAGGAAGGAATACAGAATGTCGAAATCCTCTGTTTCACGCGATGTCGAACAATGAAGACAGAGGACGGCGGTCCCCCAATCTACACAGCGGGAGAACGAAGATCATTTAAAGCAGATCAAAGGAGACATCACGATCTTTCCCACATTAGTGCAATTCACCTATAGGCTACTTAACCCCAAATAAAAGAACCCAATAAAAACAGTTGTTAAATAATAGTGAAGTCACGTTGTAATAATAACTCATCTCTCGGTTTGAGTGTTCTTTTTCTGCTTTTCTGACTATTTCTCATTGTGGGGAAAAATAACACCCAGGGTCCTGATCGTTTTAATGAAGTTGAATACAGAATATTCATATTTGTCAGTGATTTCATGTCAATTCGGCGAACATAAACATAAATGATCGTGGTGAAGATGATGATTAAATTAGGATTAAAAATCGGGAGAGCCGGCTGCATTTCCTCTCGTTCGTTTTTTTCGACTAAACAACATTATTTTGTTAAATAACAACATGGTGATGTTTTGTAAATGATTACATGTCTTATTTAGCACAGACTATGATCCTATCCGTGACATATGGATCTTAACAAAGATCTGCTATACATTAGTACCAGACATACTGTACATCCAGCTTACTGTATCGAAGTTGATTTCACATGAGCTCCAGTGTGGAACCCCACTGCACCCCCTGGTGGATCAATGATCCATTGCAGCTGGCTTCACAATAATTACATTTATTTATCACGGGGGCGGTATCAAGTCAGACTGGGGGCCGGCTCTTCATCACGAACCAATCACGACCCAATCACGACCCTCGCGTTTCAAACTGTCTGAAATAAGATGCTCCATCTGTAAGTAAGCTTTGGGGGTATCTATATTAAGCCTGACAAAGTACTTAACGTCTAATATATTGCATGGTTTGTTTTGGAACTTGACAATCAACTTTCCTGCAATGTTAACTATGTTGAAGCACTTATTTTAACTGATATTATACATATTAATTATACTCTTATAAGATGTATGTAGATAGTATAAGAAATGTGCAGAATATGTTTAATGGTGGAGGTACACAGATATCGATAGAACCTGTGACCCAAGTTTTTCATTCATTGCATAACTACACCGTAGTTGTGTATATGATATGTCAATAAACCTTAGAAAATCTTGAAATCTTGAAAGGGATGTGCAAAATAGCCATTATATACAGTTTTTAATTAACTATTAGTAGAGAATAACGAGTAATGAATATATGTATACTAGGACACGTTCTAAGGACATGGTGTAGTCCCATAGCTGAGGATTCTGGGTAGTGTCTTCTGCCATCCAAAAACTCAGAAAAAATATTTGTTTCTCCAAATCGAAAGGGGAAAATACAAAGGCATTGTACACAATTTAAACCAATCAATGTTGTGTAATTAACAAGGATAATCTGGTGTTTTTGAGTTGATGAGTAGTGCAGATATCACTGTAAAATCAATCGACAGTAAGGAGAATACTTACTTCCGGGTGTAAAATCCTCCGTTATCCAATGGGAATGGACGCTCACATTGCTCTTTGGGTCCGTAATACAATAAAGGGGACATGATCAAATAGGAATATAATTATCTTTTAAATAACGTTAACTAAAGGGAACAATCTATTTGACACAGCTGAAGCTCTGGCCTTCCTTAAAAACGAACTAATTTAATAAAAATCACAGTTGTATTACACACAATGCACTGTTTTTTGAGAACAAAAATAGGTAAATAATGCACCATAATACATTCTGACGAAAAATAAAAATTATTATGAATACAAATAAAATAAAAGAAGCCTCCCGTGAGTTACTACAAGCTATAAAGTAGATTTTAAAAACGTTTCATAGAATAAAAGCTCACTGCGGGACGTTGTAGAAATGCGTGTGTGCACCACGACAAAGGAGCCTCATTCACTTTACATTGGGGTTGTTTGCGTGGTGCAGACACGTAAATGTAGCAGAGTGCGTGACTCCACCACGCACTGCTGTGTTAAGGAGTCGTGGTGGAGTCACGCATTCTGGTGAGACCAGGTTGGAATGGACGCTCACATTGCCTTTAACAGCCGCCGACACAAACGAATGCCGTGCTTCCATGAGCGTCAAATCCCGCCGCAGATGGGAATACATTGCAATCAGTTGAAAGCTATTTGCGTCTGTTTATGAAGCTGAAGGAGCCTACATGTAGGAGCATCCCAACTGCACGCCTCGGGACCCTGACCAAGCGTCGCTCCTGGACGTTTATGGAGTGAGAGTGTGTTGTAATGGGAGACTCACCATATTCTTTGACCTCAAACTCTGCACTAAAGCTCTGCTGTGGGTTGCTGTGGAACTTTGTGCGGATCTTCCACAGTCCGGTACTAAACATAGAAACACACAAAAACACAACATTTAAACACTAATTTAGAGAGGTAACAAGGTAATACAGGAATCAGGCCTCATACTCTGTGAAGGTATTTACATCTTGTTAATTCACAAATAAAATATATAAAAATTAGCTGCTGAATATAATTATTAGTGCCCTACACTAAAATGTAATGTTTTCAGGTTAGTAGCGTAGTAGGGAGTAAAGGTATTAGTACTTTTATTGTATTTCTTTTTACGCTGATTAGCTTTACTGTACAATTCATAGGCATTAAATGTTGGCCTATTTCTATTGAATCTGTCCATTTACAATTAAAATGCAGGATTGTTATAGATAAAGTATAGATAAACTATTTATTTGAGAGTGAGAAAATATAATTACCACAAGAAGACTGTTATTTCAATCCTTAATCATTTCGGCCAGAAAGCGAATATGCTACTTTAGGACATTCAGATGTGAATCTGAATGTCCTAAAGTAGCATATTCGCTGAATGAATTTACTAATGAATTTCCAGATGAAGTGCAGTAAGGTGTTATAGAGCCCAGGAACTACTGTGCCAACCAGAGGTCGCGTGAACCGAATATTTCCCGTCTATGACGGATTTCTTTTAACAATGACGGAAACATCTGAAAGCAGTCCGTCATTTTGACAGATTAGAACAAACCAGAACAGCGCCAAAGCTTCCCCGCAGCGAGGCTCCGGTGTTTTGCCGTGTTATGCATGCCCGTCAAAAAGAAAATGATATAGTTTCCAAACCGTACTTTGCCGTACAAATCATTGAAATGTCTGTGAGTTTTTGCTTTACGCTGTGCGAGGTGCCGTGGGCAATGGACATGCCATTGCAACACAGTCTCACGGCATTTCGTGTTATAGTCACAAAATTAATCTATTTATTCGTGTTCACCAACACGATTTCGCCATTTTTTTCGTGTCACACAGAACGATTTTAAAAGCAATGTAAATGATAACAAATTAGAAGGAAAAACAGATTTCAGTATTCTGACACAGAACGATTTTAGAAGCAATGTATTTCTATTGGTAGTATGTTTCGTGCCTGCACCAAATAATAACAAATTAGAAGGACAAAAAGATGACAAAAAATACAGATTTCAGTATTCTGAGGCTCTGAGCCATTTCTTTTCCTCACTGACGGCAAAAAAACTCCGACATTATACAATTTAAAATAAAAGGGATAGGGTTAGGCTTAGGGTAAGATATTAAGTAAGAAAATGTTTTTATGAACCACACAGCTTCTGGTCTTCCAAGACCCGACCGGACAAAAAGACGTGGTGCAGGCACGAAACATACTACCAATAGAAATACATTGCTTTTAAAATCGTTCTGTGTGACACGAAAAAAATGCAACAATCGTGTTGGTGAACACGAATCAATAGATTAAATTAATTTCGTGACTATAACACGAAATGCCGTGAGACTGGGTTGGACATGCATAACACGGCGTTACAGTTCACGAGCCCATGCCCCCCCCTGTTCTGATCCAGTGTTTTTCACTTACATTCATCATCTTGGAAGTATGGTGTGATGTGTGAACTGAGAATTCATTGTGTCTCCACATTTCATACAAGATATTACTTTTTGTTTAGTTCTTTTCCAAACACTAAATTCGCAACATGGAAATTCATTGTAGAGAACACAACATAAACAAGATAAACTACTAACCTGACAATTTCAGCGAGTTGGTAATCTCCAGAGTGGATCCCTGATGTCAAAGAGACTGGATCACGTGCTAAAATTATGCCTTCAGGGGTCTAAAAAAGAACAATATAAAAAATAAAACATGAACAGAAACAAGTTAATGTTGTAAATCTATGCTATAGACTATTTTATGCATGTCTCCATGAGCTTGGTCAATGTCTCCATTGAGACTTATTTAATTCCCAGTTACTCCTAACATTTATTTATCTACAACTAAAGGAAGTGGCTATGTTTATGCAAATCAACCACTAGAGGGTAGCAAGTGATAGGACAGGGGTTCCTAAAGTAACACAACCCAACAACTCAGGTTGGCTGTGTTTTTATTTATTTTGGTAATTTCCGGGGAAAAGTATCTATCAAAGATCGAAAAACAATACCACAAACTCAATGGCAATAGACGCATCCATTTGGTTGGCGTCATCCCTCTCCACAGGCTCCATACGGGGTGTCACAGCAAACATCCTGTAAAGAACTGACATAGAAAAAGAGTGGACTTAAGACTTTACTTTTTGATAAAGCTTATAGTTGGGGCTGGCTCAGGCTTACTTTGGACCAGCCCCTAGTCATGCTGCTATAGGCTTAGACTGCCTCTCTATCTTTATGCACTAATGTCCGATAAATGCATGGTAAAAACTTGGCAACTCCAGATTTTTCGCGCTCTTTCCTCTTGCAGAAAGCCACATTCAATCGTTGCACCTTTTGGATTGTGGATGAACCTGTTGCAGTTCTCCTGATTTAGGTCTGCTGCCACTACTATGTTTTAAAAGTCCCCTCTTATATTATTTTTCAACAATATATTATATGTCTCAGATATATATAAAACATGTCTCTGAAGTGTTTGGCCCGAAATACTAAACAGATCGTGCATTGTAGCATGCTATAAACCCCTCTGTTTCAGCCCTGTTCCCAAAGTGATGATGCTGTGACTGTAGCTTTAAATGCTAATGAGCTGCTGCTGGCCACGCCCCTCTGCAAGATATTTGGTCAAAAAAACACAATGTTGCTCTAGGAAGGTTTCCCATTTCTCTCATTTCCACCTCCTCGACTCCTCGAAATGGATTTCGGGAAAATTTGAGGAATGGGAAAACTTCTAGGATGAGATTCAGGTGTCACCTTGGTTGGTTATTGGCTAATGGTTGCACAACCCAAAACAAACATTGTGACATCACAAAGTGGCCTTAATCTGATCAGCTCATTTTCAGACCGGTTTTTAGATGGATGGATCAGGACAAAAAGAGAGAGTATTTTTTCCTGAAACTCTTAACACAGAGGGGACACATATTAATGTATACAATACATTACATTGTGGATTTTGCCTTATAGGTGACCTTTAAGTCATATCTTTATTTTTTTATTTTTTCACTGATTAATTGGGACTGATTTTCCTAATCAGCCCCTTTTGGCACATTTCACATTTGTAATATGGGGCTTTATGAATAAATATTGCTTGATTATTGATAATGAATAAATTCACCTCTGCTGTTGGGGGTGTAGATGGTCTTGTCAGTTTGGATGAAGATATACCCAGACTGAAAGGAGACCATGACAACCTTCTCAAGCAGTCGGCCAGGGAACTGAGCTTGCAGATACACATACTGCTTAATGCTGGGATCCTTACTGAAGTCTCCAGCAGGGATCTGAATCATTATGAAGAAACACAAACAGTGCATTAGGAGCAGGGTGTGTACAGTATGTGCATTTTTTAATTCATATATCATTTCAGAAAATGCAGCCGAATTATAGCGTATCATTTACCATTATCTGTACCAGCGCCTGGAATTCATTTGTACTGTTAAGTGTCACAGATGCAGTTGCCAGCCTTTGGTTTTTGGTCGGATGGCTCATCACATGGATTTCCACCCTTTTGTCTTCACCTGTGCAGTCTTGACACTCCACAAAAACGTTTTCTGCTGTTTCTACACTCAACAAGTTGGGGGCAGACATCACCTCCCTGCAAAGCAGGGGCGGAAAAGAAGATATATATTAATGTGAATGTGATGTCACCGAGCAGAAAGAACCACATGCTGTTTTGGATGTACTGAAAAAAAAGAGTTCAAAATATGAATTCACACACAAAACAACCTTTTTAAATTAACTACTCATCTTGAATTAATGATGCCTCCATGGTTTATTTCCATTCGCAGGACGAGTTTGAAGTGTTTCAAATAGTAAAGTTCAAAGAATATTCATGTATTTTGGAAATTGTGTGCATACAAATACATATATGGGATTCTGCATGAGTTGTGTGTATATATGTGCTTAAAGTGGTCAAATAAATAAACCGAACCCAATAGGTAAGAACATAATTAAAGGGAACAGTGAGGGGGAGCAGAACATTTAACTTCAGGTTTCAATTCCCCCAAACTGCAGAAAAAAACTAAATCTATTTTTCAAAGATGTGGATCATGAGCTCCAGCATGGATGCACACACAATGAGTAATCTATTGATTACATTGACAACAATCCAGCACTGGATCAACACAATATTTCATCATATCTCTAGACCCTTGCTCTGTCTGGCATTTTGCATCGTTGTGCAAACTCTAAAAATAAATTAGGCCAACTTCTTGGCATCATTTGAAACACCACATGACCTTGCATTTTGTAACACAGAGTGGACTGTAGCTCCTCATTATGAAAGACACGAGTTAAGGTAATAATATGAATGCAGACGTATCTGATCTGATTCTGATCTCATATCTGATTTCAGAGGTGGGAAGTAACTAAGACAGTACATGTATTTAAATAATGTACATAAGTACAATATTGAGATACTTGTTCTTTACTTGAGTATTTCCATTGTATGCTACTTTGTACTTCTACTCCACTACAGTTCAGAGGTACATGATGCACTTTTACTCCACTACATGTATTTAGTACCTTGAGTTACTTTACAGATTTGGATTAATGAGGTGAAATATAATCAACTCTTAAATCAGTACTTTAACTATATTTTGATGATAATACTTTTCTACTTTTACTTGAGTAAAATTTTGAAAGCAGGACTTTTACTTGTAACAGATATCTGAGTACTTCTTCCACCTCTGTCTGATTTCAAACTCTTCCATTAACACAAGTTTGCAGCTTTGTGTTTTGCTCCACCTTGTTGTAAATAAAATTGCAGCAGCTTGACCACAGAACGATTAAAAGTCTCACAGAACGTGAACGTTGTGATCAGCTGATTTTGCGCAGTTCTCCAGTGTGTGTGTGGGGCACAGAATGTGCACAGGGGTGTCTCCCTCCGCAGCCAGTTAGTGTAGTTTTGGTATAATTCTGTACCGACATTAACAACAACCCTGTCTGTGCACACGGCAACCAACCTAGTCGTCCAGTGTTCTAAGCCTCTGCCTCCTGTAAAAGCTTCACAGGTCCGTCGGTTATGGCCTGCGGCTGCGCGGCTCGGCCAGCACCCAGTTCAATCAGTCCAAGAATGTCTGGCGTTTTTTGCAGGGAGCAAAACGCCAAAGTGGCTGCTTAATGTCTTTTGTTTTTTTGGACATGATGTCTTATAGTTTACTCCATTGAGTGTTGACAAGAAACACGTGTAAACGAAATAAGTGTTCTGTTTTGATGACCTATCAGGTACGCAAAGGCGCATAGTGACACAAGTGACGTTATACGCATTTCAGATTTTTTGCCGTGCATGCGTACATGCGTACCAGTTATGTGCACCCCTGATACCAGGAAGATGACCAAAAACAAAAAAAGCAGAGCTGGAGTGGGTAAAGGTACGACATGTCTACTTACATTGGAGCTCCATCAGCAAGAGAAGTCAGGGAGACAAAGGCCAGAGAGGCCAGCAGCCACAGCAGAGTTTTCCTCATCCTCCTACCTGATCCTGGTCCGCTGTCAGTGAAGTGTCGCTATGCAGCACCCTCCTTTTATCCTCTCACAGCCCCACCACCACCTCACGCCCCTACACACGGCGGTGTGGGTTGAAGCTTGCCGGTGGGCGTGTCTGAAGCTCGACCAACAACCAATCACATGAATCTCCCGCCCCGGACACACAAGCACGCGGTTTGATTGGCTAGAGCTTGTACTGGCATATGATTCGATTGGCTGACGCTTCCGTCGAAGCTTCAAAAGTAGAACATTGCTCTACTTTTGAAGCGAGCAACTGGCAGAAGCGTTGAAGCTTCAACGCACGCCGCCGTGTGTAGGGGCCGTTAGTCTTTCGGCCTGTCCACACGGCGGCGTGCGTTGAAGCTTCAATGCTTCTGCCCATTCACTTTGAATGGGGAGACGTCACGCTTTGCCAAACTGCATTGTGGGAGCGTCGCTTCGCTTTGCTCGCTTCAAAAGTTGAGCAATGTTCCACTTTTGAAGCTTCGACGGAAGCGTCAGCCAATCAAATCATATGCCAGTCCAAGCTCTAGCCAATCAAACCGCGTGCTTGTGTGTCCGGGGCGGGAGATTCATGTGATTGGTTGTTGGTCGAGCTTCAGACACACCCGCCGGCAAGCTTCAAAGCACGCCGCCGTGTGGACACTGCGTTTCTGTCCACATGTACGAACACAACCACATACACACCATTTCCCAGCAGCAGTTGAGAAACTGATAAACATGAGGTCCAATTTGAGGAAAAAGATAAACAGCAGAAAATCAATAAGGGGTAACAATAACATGTTTGACTAACTTTGGAGCATAAAGTTGAATGACCAGTTCAAAATGACTGCCAAATAACTATTCTGCATTTATGTTGTTTTTAAATGTGACAACTTGTTCTTCTTTTCTTGTTTGGGAAATGTTACTAATGTTTAATTCTTATTCTGAACCTGCTGAATCTGCACACATAATCAATCATATTGAACATGCACACTAAGTCCTAAGGTAAAAACTGTTGAGTAATACTTGGCAGGGATTTTTGGAGTTTCAACAGCGGGGAATTCTCCCATTTGAAAGTCTGAAGAAAAAAACAGTTGGTCTGAGAATCTTTATTTTATTTGGGGAATTTTATAATTGTACCATTTTGTTTCAGATATTCAAATCATTTTATGGCTAAGTTTATTTGTGATTTGAATGGATTTTGCAACTATATTGAAATAAATAACAATTCAAGAATGAGTTATATACTAAAAGAAGGATGCCATTGTTTGATAAATATACTTTTCACATACAGGTTAAGATTTAGGGTATGGGCATAAGGAACATTCTAGCTGGCAATGAGAGGAAATCGTCCAGTTACGTACTGATAATAAAACAAGACTGTTGTTGGGATGGCAAAGGGGCCATCCCCTTTTCATACCTGTGAGCAGGCTCGTGTGCAAGATAGGTGATTTTGACAACCCAGTATCACGGCAAGACGTGAACATGTGACGATCTACCATGCTGGGAGACGTGAATATGTCACGGTTTCGTCCCTTCAAACGTGACAGTTACACGGTATTGTTAACATGGCCCAACCAGTGGAGAAATACCCGGAAGTGCCAAGCAAATGGTCTAACGCGCCTATTGGTCGGTTTTTATTGTCAAAATGAGATGTTTTTAATTTATTTTTTAATCGTCACACTTGATTTCGCCGATTTTCTTGTTGCCCTAGCTGGTGGACACCTCTTTTAGCAGAAACAAAGGCTACATTAATGTATTAAATCGATGTTAATCCATGTGTGTGGATCATAGACTGGTGTGGATGTGGAATTAACGGACGTGACGTTGTGCGATTGCGTTGCCAGGCAACGCAATTTACAAACTCTTCAACTACAACCCTAATTATATTTTAAAACATTTTAGAAGGCCTCACGAAATACTTTAATGTAAATTAAAATGTAAATGTGAAGGGATGTGTGTAATGTGGTGATTGACATTATTCACCCACGGATCTATGGGTTGGGGTTATTGTTCCGCACGGACATTTTAGTGAACCGGACTTACTGTTGATGTGAAATCCGAAAACATTTTTTTAAATAAAATAATACTTTATTCCGAGTTTGCTTACTTTTCTGTTTGGAGGTCATCACATAACGGCATTGTAATACACGGTTCGGCTTTATTAAATATTACATATCTGCCGTAGTTCTGTATTTATAGAGCCCTGATGAGAAGACTTCTGGACAAACAGGAAGCACTGCCGCCAAAACTGAAAACGTGACGTGGATCATAAATATATCAGCAATTAAACAACATCTTACATTTCTTTTCAGACAATACGTCTCCTTGCAGTATCAATACTAATTCGGCTGACTTTTATATTTGATCCAATTGGTAGATAGGCTGTATTTACACCATAACGGTGCACAGCTGATAGAAAGGCACATCTAGTGGTTAAAGCACGTTATTGAATTGTATTATTTTTCACAAAAATGAAACCATCAATAGCAGAAACAGTATTAACTGTAAAACACCCCAAAAAAAAGATCATTAGTGGTTTTGTTTTATATATATTTTAAGGATAATAATAGCAATGTAACACTGTCTATGACACTTACTGCATAACACTGATTTGAAAAACATACAGAAAAAACTAATTCACTGCCCTTAATAAAGTATTTAAATATACATTTCAGGTGTGCTGTTTTGTTTAGATCATTGACATCTGGAGCTCTTTTAATGTCCTTTTTGATTATTGTTACACCAGGTCTTGTCAAAACCTTTATTCCATATTCAATATCCATTACTAAACAAAACAGCAATTCTACTCCACTACAATTCAGAGGTTAACTTGGTATTTTTACTCCACTACATTTATTTTAGTTACTTTGCAGATTCTGATTAATGATGTGAAATATAAACAACCCTTAAATCAGGCTTTAGTTACACCTGAGTAAAATTCAGGGAAAGGTGATTGTCAAGTGCCAACAATCAGGAGAGATATTTGATAGTTGCTGCTTGAGAAGACTAAACATTTATCTGCAGATCCCTATAAAGTATATTCATTACTCGTTATTCTCTACTAATAGTTAATTAAAGACTGTATATAATGGCTATTTTGCATATCCCTTTCAAGATTTCAAGATTTTCTAAGGTTCATTGACATATCATATACACAACTAATTCAATAACGTGCTTTAACCACTAGGCGGTGCACACAAGGTACACACAGCCATAATAACTTTGTATTATTAAAGTAGGACACTTGTGTATGTATAACATCTGAAGATGTGTAGTTTTATTCATGTTTTCACATAATTGTACAGGATATTGCTATATTATTTCACATGTTTTACTTATAATATCTGATTTGTAAAACATCACAGACAGAAAGGTATATCCGTCATTTAACAGTAAGCTATTGAAATTCTGAATCCATAGATGTGTCTCCCATCACCCAAATCCCCTGACTATTCTCTCAACTCAGTATTTACATTCTTATATTCAAAGAAAATCAGTAATATCTTTAAAAACGACAAGTCCTTTTATATCAGCTGTGCACCGTTATGGTGTATAACGTCTTTTTTTTTTTCGGATTTCACATCAACAGTAAGTCCGGTTAACTAAAATGTCCGTGCAGAACAATACCCCCAACCCATAGATCCGTGTGTGAATAATGTCAATCACCAGATTACACACATCCCTTCACATTTACATTTTAATTTACATTAAAGTATTTCGTGAGGCCTTCTAAAATGTTTTAAAATATAATTAGGGTTTAGTTGAAGAGTTTGTAAATTGCGTTGCCTGGCAACGCAATCGCACAACGTCACGTCCGTTAATTCCACATCCACACCAGTCTATGATCCACACACATGGATTAACATCGATTTAATACATTAATGTAGCCTTTGTTTCTGCTAAAAGAGGTGTCGACCAGCTAGGGCAACACGAAAATCCGCGAAATCAAGTGTGACGATTAAAAAATAAATTAAAAACATCTCATTTTGACAATAAAAACCGACCAATAGGCGCGGTAGACCATTTGCTTGGCACTTCCGGGTATTTCTCCACTGGTCGGGCCATGTTAACAATACCGTGTAACTGTCACGTTTGAAGGGACGAAACCGTGACATATTCACGTCTCCCAGCATGGTAGATCGTCACATGTTCACGTCTTGCCGTGATACCGGGTTGGATTTTGATGCAGAGGATGCTGGAGTGACAGGCTCAGGAGACAGAAGATTTGGAGCCTACTTCCATAACAATCTTAAGGATGCCAACTCATAAGCAAATACGCAATGCTTTTAGCAGACTGCAGCAAGGACTCCAGGAAGTTCTGCTTTCATGTAAGGAAATGCAAGGCAGGGCTGGTGACTGTCTGCTGAGTCCATTTTGAGGCCAGATTGTACTGTCACAGTCTGAACTTTGGCTGTAGTGGGAGGAGGAGTAAGCAGGAATAGTTCAAGGATTTATTTACATAATACAAAGTTTACTGGCATTAGCAAGTCTGATCCAAAGGAACTGAGAATATAGGGGTAAATAAGAACAGGCAGATGAGTCACTAGCATTCAGTCTGCCAACAGTCAATATTAGAAGAAAAAGAAAGAAAGCTGCCAGAGGGCTTGTCCATCATGTTGGAGGGATAAATCCAAAATGACTTATACACATTTTAAATCACATTAATTAAAAGGGCACATTTTTTCATTTGACATTTATCATTTGGCCAGCTTTACAGCCTAACAAAAGTTCAAAGTTGGTTTCAATTGTTGTTTTTGCACCTTTAAAGGTTAGACACCATTGTTTGGTCTCATATCTCTTATGAGCTTACACCTAACAGGAAAGTAAGAAAAGTAAATGACTCTGTCTACAACTGCTATAGTAGAGTAAGCTTATCTCTCTACAATTTGACATTAAGTCTTCGTGCTTCCATTCATTCTTGATAAGCCCCATACTGTGATCAAAACTTCTGAAGCAATGGAGACAGGACTCAGAGAGACACGGAGAGAGATCGAACTTTGATGGCAAA